TCTTCGAGCCGTCGGTGTACTACTTATTGATTAATATCGGACTATCCAAATGGTTTCCTGGACAAAGTGAGCTAGAATATAATCACATGACAACCTTTGATAGAATACTGAACTGGTGTGCTCCTAATAGATAAGATTGTTCCAAGCAAAAAAAATTGCAAGATTTTTCTTTTTTTAATTTATATGGTTTTGAAAATTTTGAAACATATATTTGTTTCGAAGAAAAATGAAATGAGATATTTCTTATTTTGAGGTTAAGTGCTGAATTCTGGTACGAAGATTTTAGGAAAAGTACGATTAAAAATATCACAAGTATGTTCAAGGTCAATGAGTGAAAGTTATGTCTTAAATTAGTTTATGGGTTACCTCGTTTAGTCACGTTGCTTAAGTGGAAACATATTAGAAGTATCACATTCCCGACTTAAATACGAGCGATTTAAAACAACTTTGAGTTGAAAATGAGCACAGTGAACTAATAGTGATATGCGCTTGCACTTAATCAAAAACGCTTTTATGAAAGTTGCCACGGTTGCGCTGAAAATACGACACATCGAAGCTGCCATGGCAACGCTCTTAATTGCCGAGGACACTGCCTGTGAGTCTGTACATCTCTATGAGTCAGTGTGCCTTCCACAAGTAAGCGAGTTATGTATGCATGTGTGTTTATATGTGGCGCGTACGGCGTGTTATCTCAATTTTTGCACCACCTCCTCCTAAACGTCTCACAAGTAAGTACACAGTCAACATTTCCGCACCTCCTGTCAGCCGCTGTCAGCGCCGCCAGCATGACATTTCCGCTAGCGCACAGCGCGGGTCAGCACTCAACTTCCGGGTTTGCTACCACGTTGATTTTTTTCGCGGCGCGTCAATCTGACTTAAGATAAGAGCAGGTGTGAGGAACATTGCAGGCGCTTGAAGTGTGAGATTAGCTGATCTGTGGCCACGCTTGAGTATGTGGCTGTGTGCGGCTGTGCATTGCGCTCAATTATATTACTGGTTTTTATTATAATTTCCTTTTCATTTATTCAGTTTGTGCTGCAGTGCGCGCGGTGTGACGTTAGTTAATCCCCTGTGCTAATTAAGTTCATAAAGAAGTATACTTGCAGTCGTTGTGCAGGTGTGCTATTTATTCTAGTATTATGTTTAAGTATATATGCGCCCGCTGGTCAACAGCGCATCAGTGCATTACTTTCGCATTTGTGCGCGTAACGTGCATGTAGCTAAGCGCCTACATTCGTTAGTCCCCTAACTGTAACGCGCATTGCTCGAGGTGTCCTATCTTCATCGGATTCTTTATTCCATACATGTTGTTCTGCTAATCTGCTTGTAAGGCCGCATCGTTGACCCTTTATTGCGCGTACTGCGCGGTCTGCGCGTCCTACGCAACGCGCTTTCATTTTCGCTCGTCCTCCTTAGCGCTTCCGCGCGCACTGAAGCGTGTACTTCACTAATTTGCAGAAATAGAATTGAAACAAGCATAAAAGTCATGCAATTTTTTTTTCATTTTCTTCCAGCGCGCCCTTTTGCTTATCGCGCTGTCCACTGTTATTTGACTGGCGAAAGTTTACGGCAAGCTTTGCCAACCAGCGCGACCCAGCGCGACCGCGAGTTGTGTTCCTTGTTTTGAACACGCGCAAATCTCATTGTTTCGCTCGCTTGTTTGTTTGTTGTATTGCTTTTTATAGCTGCCGCGCTGTTTAGTGAATTAAATAGTTGCTTGTGTTGTTGTTGTTTTGTTTGATTTTTTGTTGCAACAAAGTTTTTTGTGCTGCCAGYGCTGCCGCGCTTCCATTTATGCACGCTTTTGTTGCACTTTTTTTCTTCATTTTTTTTGTTAATTTTTCTTTGTTTTCTTCTGCTACACTGCCCTTTTGTTGGTCGGATTATATGTGTCATCGCGTTGACATGCGCTCATTTACACAGTTGCCTCGCCAACGCACGCTCAAATTAGTTGTGCTTTGGCTTTAAAATGGTCGCTATGCAAGTCCGTTTCGTCGCCTGATTGTAGGCTAATGTGTTGGCGTGTCCAACAAAAAAAAAAAATAGAAATGTTTTTTCCAAAAGTTTCGGTTTTCACCGGACCGAAGTTGAAGTATGCTGCTGTCATGGTGTTTAAGTCTTTAATCTGATAATTTGTTTAATTGTGCGCAGATGAGTGATGTGCGATAAAAAAGTCACAAACAGTTTGTTGTTGTTGTTGTTATACTTGTTATTTTTGTCGCTGAGGGGTAGCTTTTCAAAAGTAAACTTTGAAAATAAATCTCTTAAGCGGTGGAGAGGCAACAACTCCGTATTGGAATGAGATTCTCATAGCAAAGGAGTGTAATGAAAAGAGAGATGTGAAGGGAGAGGTATATAGGGAGAGCTACGGTTTGAAAATGAAAAATAAAGTTTAAGATTTCAAAGGCAAGACAATATCTTTTGTACTGAAACATTAAGGAGAATAGGGAGCACAACATCAGTTAAAGCGGAGCAGAGTATTAACTGTTAGATGATTTTGATTAGTTAATCTGTCCATATATACATTTTAAACTTACAGTATTATTTATTTCATTATAAACTTCAACACTGAAGATTCATCTTGAGCTCTATAGTGCCTTTCAAACGGAGTTGGATGCCTTCAACCAAAAGTACTACTCCCAAATTCAGATTCCTTCAAAGAGGATTGTGTACTTTTCGATACTACTGCGGCTAAACTGGCATTAAGCCCGATTACCCAACACAGGGTAATCAGTGGAAACTGCAATGCTGATGATTCTGCTGGTGAGTGCATTATCACCCTAATTGCATAAGTTTAGAAGCGAGTCGCACTCTGTTATCTTCTTCCGTTGGATATATGGACTTCATGTGTGCTCGGAAAGTGCCGCTCAATAACCAGAACTTGCGCGGCTATGATAGCCTTCTGATGCCGTGTGAACCGTAAGAAGCCCGCAGAATTACGTGCTCTTAGCAAAGTTCCTCTCGCTGCAAGTTTTACGGTTGTCTATCAGAGTAACACGCATTGCGTCGAAATATCTTGTCGGACGCTTTCTGACAAAGTTGAATAAGGGAAAGATGAAATCATCCAGGCACTTTCTTCTAGTTTGCTTAGCTTTTTTGCCATACTGAGATGGAAATATGTCAATAGACTCATCTTCGGCGAATCTAGTGAAACGGCTAGAATTCATATTTGCCATATGGTCAAATGCCGATTCGCAATTTTATTGGCTGCAGCCGCTGAATGGGATGTTGTCGATTTGCCGTCCGCGTTTATAATCTACCTATATGGACCCTGGCACTGTAGTGCTGGTTGGGCAATATAACTATATCCATCGCAAGCTGCTCCCGTTGAAGTGGAGGTGAGGCTGCTGGCGATACAGTTCATAGGATCGCTATGCCGACGATTGGACGATTTGATATCCCAGTCCTTTGTTGACTTCTATGTTGAGTTTCATGATTCGGGGTTCTCTAGTATTACCCATTTACCTACTTCTAAGGATGCATATCAAGCAGTCCGTCAAAAGGGGATGATTGGGTAAATACGTTAGTCTTCTTTAGAAGCCGCCTGCCTGCAATACAATGACTCTGACCAGAGCCAGCTTGAAATCATAAAAATGTAAGCAGCGACACCCATTGTCTAGTCGACAACCGCGAGAAAGATACAGCTAAGAGAAATTTTTACCGATCTACGTTTTGCTTAGGCTTTCGACTCTAGGTATCATAAATTAATATAAAGCCATTATACAAATAACAGGTCCGCCACATATTACTTCTTGTATCTACGGGGCTCATATTGAGTATTGCATATACGAAATTGCGGAGTGCTTCACATCCTCCAACATCTAGGGACTTATTTAGACTGACGGACGGCTGGATGTATTTAAGTTCCATTGGCAGTGGTTTCGGCTAGGAGACCTTACCATATACTGAATTTTGGTACCAAGGGAAGTAGAAGCCCGTGAAGTTCGCTTCAACCTATTCATGCGGCATGGTTGTTTTTGGAAGAGCCTACCTAGAATCAGCTCAATGAGCCATTGCATGGCAATGCATGCCATTCCCATGGCATCGTTCAGCGCATTGTTATAAATAGGTATCCACTTCGGTCGCTGCGCTTGGAAAGCACAAACATTTTTTTTTAATGTTTTTCAGTTATAGTGCATAAGTAAGAAAGGTAGTCTTCGGTTTCTAAGGTTGATTCAAATCTGCAAATTTTATCAAAGGATAGACTTCTGCCTTTTGATATTTCAGTTTGGGATTTTGTATAGATTGTATCAGAGGGAGTAGGTATGCAGAGGACAGTTGCCATCGAAAGTTTTCTTCCTGGCCTTAGTAGATAAGGAATCATAAAATTGATTCCTTCCGAGTTCCTAAAGGGCTTAACAGGACCTAGACGTGTGAGCATTCTTATACACTTCTAAGATACTTGTGTCTAAGGAATTCGTGAATATCATTAATAAAGATAATACCTCATAAAGGTAAACCCAATTCCGACAATATTCGGTTTGACTTCACCTCAACAATCCCATCACTTGATACGTCCAAAGACTGCCAATGATGTTCAACCCCCATTTCCACAATATTCACTTAAACTTTTCCGGAACGGTCCCACAATTTGATATATCGAAAGACTGCCAACGATGTCTGAATCCCATTCCGAGGGTTAGTCGGTTCCACTTAACCGGAACGATCCAATATTTGAAATGTCCAAAGATTGCCAACTCCTCAGAAATGTATAACAATACGCTTATAACATGTAGCTATAACCACTACATACCATACCATAACAGTGACAATGACAACAATCATAATAACAACAATCGCAATAACAAGTACACGATCCTTTGAGGTGTGCTTAGCTTATGCTAGATAAGGATTTTGAGATTTTGTGAACTTCTGGAAAGATTGTGGAGAAGTGACGTAGGATGCAACCTACTAATCTCAATATTGCATTTTCAAAGCCACCGAAAACGAATGATCGAAGTCAAAAATCTGTAGCTGAAATCTCTTTAGACACACTTTGATTAGAGCTTTAAGAAATTATATTTCATGGTACACGACATTTATATTTTGTTCACGCACACTGGTTTACAAGTTCTATTTCCTTCATTCCCCACTTTCTACTGGCATGGGAGTCTCGTCATCGGCTTCAGCTTCAGCTTCAGCTTCACCCTCTCTCTCATCCTCTTCCGAATTTGTATCATTACCAGATACTAATGTTATCTCGATTTCGATGACTGAGTTATTGTGATGACCATCGCCGCCCGCTTCTTCATCCGTCGACAGTTGTTCACTAACGTTAGGTTCAGCCATAGTTGTCGTAGCTTCGTGTTCCACCGCTGACTGACTGGCATTGAGTGTGTTTTCCTCATTGCTCTCTCCGGGCGATATCGTTTCATTTGAGTTCGCTGCAGACTCGGAAGTAGACACTTCATCGTTGGGTGTGAGTTCATTCGTAGACTCTTCAATTTCGGTTTTCCTGTTATTCGAGCAACTAGGGTTGGCATTTTGTTCCACTTCTTGCAGCAATTTACTTATACTTGGAGTTGTATTTGCATTTAAAGTTGCATTTGAGATTTTGCTTAGTTCATTAACTAAATTATAGGACAGAGCCGTTACTTGCGATTCAGTTTCGAACAATTTTACATCAGGTTTTGAATGCATACTGCTTTTTGGGCTGATTTCTTTGGAACTACTGCAATCGCTGTTAATTCGGGAGTCACAAATCGGTATATGAAACGACGAATGACTGGATGCAAGTGCTTGTGGATGTAGATTATGAGAGTTGAAAATGCAAGAGCGATGCAAATTACTTTCGTTTCTGCGGCTTCGTCCAGCATTGCTGCTGCTCCGTTGAAAATAGTATGGCTGCGGCCTGGGCCTGTTCCTTATTAGTTTGACCAGGTCTAAGCATTGTTTCACTCGTCTCTGCGACTTTCGACGCTTCATAATATCTGCTATATTATAGATAATTTTCTTTCACCTTTCGGAGGTAATTTTAAATGTTGTTCGAAATTTAGAAATTTTTGGCGATATGATTCTAAACTCGGAATGCCGAAATTTGTTAAATATTTTATATATATTGTTTGTTTTTGTCTTTTGACTTTTTCGTTCAATAAATTCAATGCATTTCCGATGGCCAGCAGATATACAGTTGAAAGTGATCCACAGTAAAAATAAATTTGAACTCGACTTATGTCATCAGCGACGGTGAGGACACAATTTTTCATCAATCTTCGCTTGAAAAGTGTTATTTCGGCTCTCGGTTATTTACTAAAGAGCGTGGGCATATGTTTGAAATAACGGAAGTCCAGTGGAGGCGCTTAGGTAAGAAGAAAAAACTGAAAAGTTTCACAGACTATTTATGCATGACCGTATAATGCGGTTGATCGAGACAGCTGCCACTCTAAGGATAATAAAGGAAATTGTTCATGAATATTTCGGTAAACCAAAGCTCTGTGCAAAATGGATACCACGTGACCTCACAGTCGACTAAATCACTATATGTGCAGTAAGGCATTAATTGAATAACCTGCTCCAATATTCTTTATTTTTCTCCTGTTGTTGTACTCAGGCCTCAAGTCAATGTTCAACGAAAACGAATCGCCAAAGACTGAGGACTGTTGTAAACGAAAGAATAAATTTTGCCCAAAAATATTGTAGAAAGGTGGGCAGATCGCTTCGGTGTATGGCTTTCGATTGTAAAAAAATTGAGTTTTGGCCTGCAAACATGAGGTCTCTAGTGGTAAAAAATTGGTAGAGCAAAAACATTGCCCGCAAACAGATACATGTAGTTATGAGTTGGTGCCAGATCCGGTCTATAAGGTGAGTACATATGAACTTCACAACCAAGACTTCGTAGTATCTGGCAAGTCACTTTTTATGCGTATGGCGTGGAGTTTTCTGATGGAACGCAATTGCTCTTCCATTGCCCAAAGCTGGCCACTTCTCAACAATTTCTTTTCTCAGGCAGTTCAATCGTTGAGAGTACATGTCTACATAAAGAGTTTGGCTATAGCGGAGCACTTCTTAGTAGATATTTCAATGCCAATATCACCTAAAATAAAAGAAAACCTTCCTGTCTGTTAATCCTTTTCCTTTGATGAATGCTCACTGCGATTCGAACGCAATCGAAGTTTTTCTCATAGGCACCAGGAAGATAGAATAACGAATAGAGAGCCGCCAGAGCTGTAGCTGAAGTATCTGGGTTTAATATTGGTTTTCAAATTAAAATTTAACGCTAGGTGTATACTTCCAGTCCACGTGCGATGTCTCTAGATCATCCATCTAACCTAACGTAATCATAACCTAGACTTTTAAGTCAGCGAGCAAGACTCTCTTGAATTCTCACTAAGACCTAACGAGTCTAAGTCCCTCCAAACAAGCAATATTTTCTTAATGATGCTTGATTTCATCTCTGTGCGCCTAAATTTATGTTATCACTAAGTTAATACTTGGCAACTTTTGCACAAACACTAATTTCACTACAAAATCAAATCATGCGGTCCGAAAGAGGCTTACAGCTACTTCCACAAAAAAAAAGAGCAACTTTCAATTGTAGTTGTAATTGTAGCAGGAGTGTGTGTGTGCGTGTATAAGCAGAGTTACTAAATTTGAATCCCGTCAGACAGGATATTGCACACACCGATGTACAGTTACACTTACCAACAACAATGGCGCCGCTAACAACAGCGAAATGAAAATGGACCGAGAGAGCGGCGCAGTAAAAGTGTGGAAAATACGCCAACAATTTTATTTGCTTGCGATGCTGCAACTAAAAATTTACAATTACAGTGAATGGCATGAAAACGGAATTGTTGTTGTATGGTATGAGTGGGGAATGGCATGGAAATTGCATTCAATTGCGAAAATAAATGGACAAGAAGCGTTTAGCGGGCAAAGTTGTGTGCTTGTTTGTTGTTGGCGGTGTTGTTGTTGTTGTCAACATTCTTGTTGTTATTGCTGCTATTGTTTTTGGATTGTGTTTTTGTGTTTGTTATTGTTTTTGTCTTTGTTGTTGTTGTAGCAGTTTTTGTGTTTGTTGCAGCTATTTTCCTACCGCCATTATCCCTTTGCGGCAAATGTCAGCGCAACGTTAGTGCCCGTGTTTTCCACACTTTTGGTTTGTTCTGTGTGTGTGTGTTTATATTGTTTCTGCATGCTCATTTATTTGTAGTTGTCTTCATGCGCCTTAGCTGGCATTGGCATTGTTGTTAGCCGTTGTCAGTTGTTGTTTTCACAGTTGAAGTGGTTACTTAAAATCTCATCAGCAAACGCCAACAGCCAAGCAAAAGCACACAGCACACACAGCAACGAGACAACAACAATTGAGGCCAACAAAAATGGCAACCGGTTGTGTAGAAAAACACGTTGGCAGGAAGAGCAATAAAAACATTCACTTCAAGTGCAAAAATAAATGTTAACAGCAAAGTGGCAAAGTGTACAATCGCGTTGCTGGTACTATTAAACAACAAAAACAACAACAGCAAGCAAACAAAAAAAAAAAAAATATAGACAACAGCAAATCAGCAGAGCCACCATATATGCACAGCTTTCATATAGGCACAGTAGAGGCAGCTATGAGCCGTGTGCTGCTAGGATTTAGCATACCCACAGGCGCAATCGCTTCGAATGAGCAAGGCATGAAGCATGACAACGCGCTGGGCACTAAAACTGCCGCATAGAGCGGCGAAGGGCTGAAACTGTCTGCCCGCAGCGCGGAGACAAATAAAAGCAAAAAATTGTGGGAAAAACAAAAAAAAAAAAAAAAAAAAAAAAAAAAAAAAAAAAAAAAAAAAAAAAAAAAAAAAAAAAAAAAAAAAAAAAAAAAGCGAACAACACCAACCGGAACAACGAAATCGCAAAACAAATAAGTGTTAAACAATGAAGTCGAAATTGTTGCAAAGACTGTGTTTCTAGCGCAAAGGACTTGCTTGTTGTTGTTGTATTTTTAGCTTAGTTCATAGCGGGAATTATACATGCGGTGAGGCATAAAAACCCCAAAACCCAACCGGAAGTTGCAAAGGTAATAGGCGTGCTGCTGTTTTGCTGTTGTGTTTGTGTGTGCTCTTCTTATAAAATATTATTGCTGTTGTTATTTTTGCTAAATTACAAGCAAATACCGGTACAGTTACAGCATAAGACAAAAACAAAGAGCAAAATGTAGTCCGCTTAGTGGCATAATAATATGCGGCACAACGATTTTGGAATTTGGGCGGATTGAATTAGTTTCTGGTGGATATTAAAATCATAAACAATTTCTAATTACATGCAGAAAAATATTTCGAAAATAAATTTAAGCCAACAATGCTAGTTAATGCAAAGCGGCAAAAATTGCTAAGCGGGTTAGGAATATAAAGCAAAAATAAAAGTCTCTCTGTTGTTAAGCTCTGTGAAAAATACAAATATGGTGGAGATTAAAATTATATTTCGAAAATTTTTAATTTTTGTTACAAAAATTTTAAGCAGTTTCTGTTGAAAAATAGGCAAGAAATGATTATATAATATAAGGCTGAGGAAAAAATAAAGCAATTTTCTGCTAATGACTGGCTTTAGTGATCTGTACCTCGCGTTATATGAGTGCAACCAAGCTGCGTTGTATAGCATTAGGAAGATAAGATTTCATACTAAAACAACTTCTCAGATATTTTTGTGATTACTTTGCTCAGCATTGTTTGAACACGCATTAAAGTTGGATATTTGAAAAGTGAAAAAAAACGCCTTATTTTATAGTTTTTCTACTGCAAAAGCACAAACTCCCCTGGAGTGGCCAACAGAGGACTTCTACGGTCCATAGGAGTGCAAATAGGTAGCATGACTCCCATTCTGATCAATATCAAGCCCCCTCCCAAATCTTCATTACGCTCCTCATGCGAGATCCACTCAGCAACCTCTGGTTCCACGCACAGTCTATTCCATGTGTCGTTGTCAGTATCGTTACATCAGTCAAATCCGATTTTTGCACTGGCTGGAGCCAATTTTTGACGTGTTCCGGCCTGCGCCCCACACGTGAGTTTAGTGAATCGTATTTTGCCGCATGTATCAGTAGTCTGCCCACGCAACACCATTTGTAAGCTACTCTCTCACTCCCAGGAGCACCCACGGACACCCACGACAAACTCGGATTTTACAATTCAACTGCTACTTACTACAAAGTAAGAGATGGAGATAGAGCCAGGACCTCACATCGATAGCTGCGGTTCAAACACACAGTCGTTCAGACCATCTGAGGTGCGCAGATTTCAACCTTCTGACTTTATTTCTGTGGATCGCACCTAATTTCCTAGCCGAAGCAGCTGTTTTAGATAATTAGCGCGACACCTGGCGCCATGCTGTCTCCCCCATTAAATTCACAGCGAACATATTCACTAACTGGGACAAGGAGTACAGACTTGAACTTAATATTTGACGGCGATTATACAAATATACAAAGTACAGAGCCACAACAAAATCCTCAAGTCGCTAGCCTGCAGCACGTGGGGAAAATACAAAGAAATGTTGTCGGCAACATACAGCCGGTAATAAACTACTCCGCACCAGTATAGTCTGGGTGCAGTGAAACGCAAATGAGGAACCAACGAAGATTTCAGACACTGCACGTTGGACTACGACAGTATGCCACTCCATGTCTCTCAGGCTAGTATGCTCCCATGGATCCCTACAGTCACAAGCTTAGAGCGGAGTCGTCTCCTAAGAGCATAAAGGGCTTCAATACGTCGATCAAACTTCGGACCCAACAAACTTCCTACATGCACTGACCGCCATTCACAGCGTGCAATGAGTCTCCGCATGATACTAACCACCTCTTTGCCTGCTAACCCTGCACACCCTTCTTCTTGGGTCTGTCAGGAGATAAACTTTGCTCATATAAACGGTTAAGAACCGTTTAAATACGGTTGGATAAAAATTGAAGCTCGATGTGTGGGTGCCACCCGAGTTATCGCTTAACAAACCTATTGGCTGAATTGCAGTTGGTTACAGGTGATGAAAAGTGGGTAATTTTGACAACATTAAGCCGAAATGATTGTGGTCGAATCACGGTGAGCCGTCGTATGCGGTGGCCAACCGAGAATCGCGGTTAGGAAGAATTTGTTGTGTG